AACGACCAGCAGCAAAATAGAAGCTGGAATGAACCAGCATTCATCATAGTTCATCCAAAACATCCAACCAAAACCAGCCAGCGCCTTCAGAAGACAAACAAGCAAGAGGTAACATATCCCAAGTTGCCTATAAACCAGACAAAGACTAATAACATGAGGCCATCCATGGGATCAAAGCGTGACTGAAATAAAACCAAGTATTTCCAACCAGCAGCCATAGCAGAACCACAAAGTCATCATCACGGCTATAAGTCCAATTACCCCAGAAACGGCCAATTGTGGGAAAAAGTAAGTTGCCCATCCAAGCAAAACAATCAGGAAAACTGACCCGAATTTGCTCAAATCTCTTCCAACTTCGAACTTTGAGTCTAATAGCATGTTTAATGATAAAAATAACAGCTTCAGGACTTTTCCATTTTCCTGAAAAATTCCTATTGTTCCTCTCTCCTAATGTAGTAAACCGAGCAGCAGACCACCAAAAAATAGAAGTTTTTTTCACAGCAATTCAGTGAGGGGAGCAATCCAGGAAATCAAAAACTTGCATCAAATTAGGCCTAAAAAGAAAGCCGACCATGTTTTTTACTAAAGAGCTCTTTTAAGAATCAGTAAGTAAGTCATCCTAAATGAAGCCTAAGATTTTATTTGTAACAGTTTTTTATTATTTTCTAAAGTAGTTTTTTAGTAAATAAAATTTTAGTTATAATAAATTTTATATAAAAAATTAATTTAAAAATCAATAAGAAAACTATCTAAAACTAAATCTAATTCATTCAAATAATGAGCACTCGGTAGAAGGACTAATGAGAATTGCATCCTCTTCAAGCGGCAACTTCCTAAATAAAGGCCGACTACTCTCTAAATCAGTTTAGGCAACTATCATCCATACTAACCAACAGCAGAAGATAGCAAATGCGCTCCTCCTTTAATCACCCTCTCACAGCTATCAGCTATCACTCTTCCAGGTTGTAGTCCTTATGATAAAAATGAAAAGAATATAACAAACAAAAGGCAAAAACTACCTAATACCATAGAAAAGAAATAAAGGGATGCATTGCTAGAGCTGACATGAGCTATCTGCTTCATCAAATTAAGTGTGAGTTAGCATCTCATAAGCTTCAGTTGGGAAGGCTTTCTTAGTGCTTTTTAAAGCAATTTTTTAGTGCAAAACTTAAAATTTTAGTATTAAAAAGTTGATTTAAGAAACAATAAAGTCATAATCATACGTGTTTGAATTCTATGGTTGAATCCACATGATTTAAAATTATAAGTTAATTCCTTTCATTAGGGGCAGATCCACCTGATGTACTATGGTCTTTAGACAATTGCCCCCACATAATTAAATATGTTGTGTAGAGATGTTATTGTTAGGGAACAATCAACCAAATACAAAGAGAAATTGAAAGGAGAATCCAAAAACCAAAATTTATTCCGGGGGCATTGTCCCTTGACCCCGTGACCTATCTGTGAAGCTTATAATGACCAATGATATTAACAAATAGGGGTCGAGAGGCAACACACTCGAAACAAATTTTGATTGTAAGGATATTTATGAAAAAAAAAAAAACTCAACACTTTTAATTATAAGTTTGCCCCCTAAAAATTAAGGTTGATTCCGCCCCGCCCCTGCGTTTCACGAAACAGGTCGAGTTTGAGAGAAGACTGGCATTCTCCAGAACTGGAAAATGTATTAGTTGTTGACATTTGATATTCATCTAGTCGGCTTATCTGTAAAGGCTGGGAGCAGAAGCTGAGAGATTGAATTGATTTCTTGCTTGAATCAGTACAGGCGAAAGGGATTAGCTGAAAGGAATAATTTTAGATGGCTTAGTTTAGCAGCAAAGAGAAACAGAACAATCAGGTTTGTCACTTTGTCGGCCTATTATTTGAGCTAAGAGAAAAACATAATCATCACGGCTTATTAGAATAAAGAAATTATTTTGATATGTTTAAAGCAGATGATTTTTACGTGTTTAATTAAAATATCATACATTTATGTCAAAAGAGATTTTTATAGCTCTTATTTTCTCAAGACATTAGAGTTTATTTAAAGCAGAATTTATTTATGAAAATATTTTAAGAGGACAAAGGGTGGAACCACCTTTATTTTGAGGGTAGAATTGTCAGAGAGATTATTACATGTGGAGTCCGGAAATAGAGAACTATTCAATTTTGTGACTTAAAAGTGTAGTGGTAAACAGTAACTGTCTGTATTTTTATTGTGATTCACGATTACAAACCCAAATGATTTTCTGTGTATGAACTTTGCGTGTAATAATCTCTCTGAATTGTCAGCATCCCCATGGGCCATATAGCATCACATGGATGAAGTAGCCCTAATAACCAACTATGAGGCTATGAGACCTGATGATAATGATCACCATTAATGATGCCTTATAAGGTTTGATTTCAAAGTTGCATTAATGGTGATAGAATGATTAATTATGTGAATTCATCTCATTAAAATTCTCAAAAAAAAAAAAAATCATTTCATAAGTTAACACTTTCTAGTGCTTTATTGTAACAGCTTAGGCTTCGTTTGGGACGGCTTTCTTATTTATTCTTAAAGCTGCTTTTCAGTACAAAAATTTAAAATTTTGTACTAGAATGCTGCTTTAAGAAGCAGTAAGAAAGACGTCTCAAACAAACCTTAAACTCTTATCTATCGATATATTATTCACTTTAGTCTAACCTCACAATTTTATCGTATTTGTGTAACCTATAAGGTACATTTAACTTCAAAGTTTTTTAATAAAATTCAAACACAAAAATATTTCTCGATATTTAAGAGTTTAACTTATTTTAATTTAAGGGGTTATTTATTATTATTATTATTATTATTAACTATGCATAGAATAATTTTATTTATATCAATGAGTCCTAATTCCTTTAACATTTATTTGGCCCCAAAATAAAGCTAATTTTTTATGGCGACTTATTAAAAAATAATTATAAAATTTATCCTAATCATTCAAAAGAAATAACACGCTGCAATTATTATGCGGAAATTTTATAAAGTCGAACTAATGATTTTAAAAATTTATTTCAAATTCCATTATTGACAACGAAAGAGACGAACGTTCACAACGGAATCGAGTCGTCGTGGCGGGAAAGTCGATTCGTGACATCAAATTAACGGTCACGTTTTTGTGCGCAAAACTATTTTTTTTTTTACATTTTCACGCAACGGCGAGCAGAGACGTCTGATATTTTTTAATTAAAAGAAATTTTTCATAATTTTTTTCTTTCTTTTAAGTTTTTTTTAATTCTTTTAAGTTTTATTGGTGATACGTCGTCAAAAAATTATCTTGATCGGGCACGAATCTTGAGGCAAAAGCTAGTTGGAAACTTCAAAAATTAAATTTGAAAGCTCCCGAACTCCGATTTCAGCGAGCTTATAGTCAAACTGAGCGTCTCGGAAATACGAACCCAACGACACCAAATTCGACCCAATCCGAGCCCAAATGAGTCCGAAACTTATCATTAATAAAAATTTTAGCGTAATTAATTATTTCGAGCCCGCTCTGTATATATATGCGTTCTCATCCTTCCTTCGCACTCAACCCCCATTAGGAGTGGTTACTTGGCCGTTTCCCGCCTTCTCCGCCGAGCTCCAGATTGCAGGGTTACGGGACTAGGGTTAGCAGTTTCTCTTATTTTGCTCTTCTTCTTTATCTTCTTTTTCAATCGCGTTTACACTATTAGTTATCTTCTTCTCAGCCTCGAAAAGCTCACATTGCGGTTATGTTTAAAGATTTGCTGGAACTGAAGATTTTTCCGGCTTAGTGGAGAGGCATTTACTTGAGTGGACTGATTGTCTTCGTGTTTTTTTTTTTTTTTTTTTACACATGTTTTGGCTGATTATTTGGTTTTTTACCGATGGAATGGTGCCGTATGTCGTTGGTATGCTTTTGGTTACTGGATTTACTTCTATTTATTTGTTTTGCTTTCGTATTTTTTAAAGCTGCGACCTTTCGTTGTTTTTATATTCTAAGCGGATGTTGATTTCTTCTGTGGGATGAATTCATTTGTTTATGTTTTATCTTTGTCTTCTGGTGAGGGAAAAATTTGGATGTTAGAGTTACTTGTTTGAATCGTTTCTAGAATAGAAGGTTCATCGTTTTTTGGCTAACTAGTTTTTTAGAGTTAATTGCTACATTTGTTTTTTAAATGATCTAACCTTTATACAACTTATAAGTAACTGCTGTTGTATCCTCGAATTCGGCTCGAACTTTCACTACAAGAAAATGAGTCAACAGTGACAAAAAATAGAGAAAAAAATGTCGCTAAAGATATCTTTCAACTATCAAAAGTAAGGCCTCTAAATAAAAAGTAAATATCCTTGATCGTCATATGCTTCGCAGATATGTCGGGGGTCCAAGGGGATAGCGCCCCCTAACGGGGAACAAAATTTGGTTGTAAGGATATTTTTAGAATTCAAATTAAGAAATAAAATTATGAATTCTCTTTACTATTTCTGGTTGTATTTCGTTCATTGTTCTCTAACAATAACACCTCTACATAATGCGTTTAATTATGTTGGGGGCAATTACCTAAAGATCATAGTATTTTAAAACTTTTAGAGGGGGGCAATTGCCTAAAAATTGTTGTAATAAAGAATAAAAAATAGAAGAAGGGGGACAAATTAACTAAAGAATCATGTAATAATTTTTTTTTTAAGGGGGGAAATTGTCCCCCTGAGCACAATGGGGATTCACCCTTGTTTGAAGGATCTAGGACCAAAACAAGAAGCTTTCTCATCTACTAGTAGTCATTGATAGAATTTTCAGCCATTTTTTTCTGTCTGTCTTTTCTGAACTTCTTTGAACTAGCAACAATGATTTAGTAGATTATCAATCCTCAAAAATTTATTTTATTGATGGATGTACAGTAGTTAAATCATTTTCATCTGCTTAATGCTGCTTTTTCTCCATTCTGTAGGCTCCTTACCTTCTTTAGAGGTTCTTCTTTTCATAGGGAGATAAACTAATTTACTGCTAAAGATGGCGGCTTCCCATACTTTCTTTCTGGGAATTATACTTTTATTGTGTTGGATCTCAATTGGAGATGCTGAATATATGAAGTACAAAGATCCTAAACAACCAGTTGGTGTTCGAATCAAGGATTTAATGAACCGGATGACCCTTGCTGAAAAGATAGGCCAAATGGCACAGATTGAAAGAAAGGTTGCAACAACTCAGGTCATGAAAGATTACTTCATAGGTAACATGAACAGATTGATTTTTCTGTTTATTATAGATCCATTGCTATGTTATGATATAAAATTAAGATTTTTATGCTGTGGTTTTCTGCAGGTAGTGTTTTAAGTGGTGGGGGCAGCGTCCCTGCTCCTCAGGCATCGGCCAAAGATTGGATAGACATGATAAATAATATTCAAAATGGTGCTTTGTCAACACGGTTGGGGATCCCAATGTTATATGCTATTGATGCTGTTCATGGAAATAACAATGTCTACAATGCAACTATATTCCCTCATAATATAGGCCTTGGTGCTACTAGGCAAGTATTTTTAAATTTGAAATTGGAAGGGCAAGCGGTAGATTTTGCCTCTTATTTGTGCCGTTATAATTATTCCAATTACAAATGAATGACTTTGTTGTTTTTGGTCGTGAAGTGAGGGTGAAAAGAAGGATCTAATGCATGAAAGGATCATTTTAGATTGGTGGTTATACAAATGTAAAAGTATGCTCGTACATGCATGCATACATATTTAGGGTTTAGGGTTTACCACTTGCAAGAACCTAAAAAGCTTCTTTCTTCATCCTTATTTCTTAGATGACACACCTGTCCTCTCTCTTCCGCTCCTATCTTTGTTACTTCTTGTTGTGGGATATTTCAAGATAACGCAACCATCAATTTATATAGTGCATAGACATGATTGGCAACAAACTTAAATTTAATGAAATTTGATTTCGGTACACCATGTTAAAAATTTAAATTAATAAATAAATCTTGAGTTTGGTTAGTTGTCCTCTTGGAAAATAAAATGTGAGTTATGTAGCTATCATCTTTCAAAATGAAGTGAGAATGAATCTTAAGTTTGTAATCATCAATCTTTAAAAATTAAGATCAAATATTATCCAAGATATTTAATGAAATTAGGATACACACTTAACATGTACCATACTTTATAGGAAGTAAATAATGTTTGCATATATCTTGAAGTCAAATACGTTTTGAAGAAATTATGTATAGGATTCTGTTTTCCTGGTAAGAACTCTCAATTTAATTTCCCCGCTTTTTTCTTTCTATTGCTTTAGTTAATTTCTCATTAGAATGTACTCGGAAGCCCCTTTATTAACTTTATTTATCGTATGGGTTTGTTGGGCACATCTCAAAATAATCCTGTTTTCCTTTTTTTTTTTTCTTTTTGGGTTTCATTTTCTGGTAGGGATCCTGATCTTGTGAAGCGAATTGGTGCTGCAACTGCTCTTGAAGTTAGAGCAACAGGCATACCATATGCTTTCGCTCCATGTATTGCGGTAAGCGCCATACGGCTAACCAAACTAAATTCAAAACCTATCTTTTGCATTTTTGGCGTAACTAGTGCCTGTTCAAATATTGGCAAATAATATCTGATTATTGACATTATTCTCTCTCCTACAGGTTTGCAGAGATCCAAGGTGGGGTAGGTGCTATGAAAGCTATAGTGAAGACCATACTGTTGTGCAAGCAATGACTACTATAATACCTGGTTTGCAAGGGGATCTCCCTGCAAATCAAAGAAAGGGCACTCCATATGTTACTGGAAAGTAAGAGTTACAGATTCCATTAGAGCCTGAAAGGACTAGTTTTTTTAATTATTTTTCTAGTGCATATCAATTAATCAGTTTTTTGTTCATTCAAAATCTTTTGTCCATTCTTGTCTTTGCTAATGTTTATTCACTTTGGGCAGCTAAATCCCGTCGTGATAACATGAAAATTATTTAATAACCGAAGCTGACGTGGTTAATGAAACCTCATCCGCCACCGCTGCCATTCAGCATTAATGGCCAATGATTGCTGTGCCGCAATCATTGGCCATTGATTGCTCATTGCCGCGGTTTGAACTGCGCAATCAAAGCCTGCCACGTAGCCCACTGCCAAATGATATATAATCTGATGATAAATAATCTATCAGGGACAAAGTTGCAGCATGTGCAAAGCATTTTGTTGGTGATGGAGGAACACAGAAGGGAATTGATGAGAACAATACCATTATTGATCGCCGTGGACTGTTCAGTATCCACATGCCTGCTTACTACAACTCAATTATTCAGGGTGTTTCCACCATAATGGTGTCTTACTCGAGCTGGAATGGAGAGAAAATGCATGCCAATCAAGATCTGATCACTGGTTTCCTGAAGAACCAACTTCATTTTAAGGTCAGGAATTCATGACTACATCTAGAGAATGATATTTGAATGCAAATTCCTTCGCTAAATTCCTCAAAATTTGCAGGGCGTTGTTATCTCCGATTGGGAGGGAATTGATAGAATAACTAGCCCTCCTCATGCAAACTACACCTATTCTGTGCAGGCTGGTATCAATGCTGGAATTGATATGGTCAGTAACTCTTTTATCAGTAAAACTGGTAGTTAAGGCTTTATTTTATTCTATATAGGATTTTATACTAATTTTTTAGCACTCCTTAATACATCACTTTAAAGGCTCATTCAGAACTATTATCTTTTTTACTATTATTAAGGCTTAGTTTGGGACTGCTCTCATACTGCCTCGTAAAACGGATTTCTAGTACAAAAAAATTAATTTTTTTACTAGAAAGCCGTTTTACGAAGCAGGAAGAAAGCCATCCCAAACGAAGCCTATCTAACATTGATTTACATATGATTGCTCCATCAATTTTATTCCATAAAGACCTTAGTATCTTATATATTTTTCATTTTGACCTGTGCTGCTCAGGTGATAATTCCTTACGACTATGATTCGTTCATTAGCAACCTCACCACTCTTGTCAATAACAAAATTGTCCCTATGAGCAGAATAGATGATGCTGTGAGCAGGATTCTTCATTTGAAATTCTCTGTTGGTCTATTTGATAATCCTTATGCAGATCTTAGCTTTGCTGATCAACTTGGAAAGAAGGTGTGCCAATCTTTCTCCTGCACTAATACTTTATTGTTACAAAACTTTCTGTTCATTCTCATCTTCCTCAAGAATTTCATCAACTTTAATTGGTCACATTACATTTCATCTTTCAACAGGAGCACAGGGAATTGGCCAGGGAAGCTGTCAGGAAATCACTCGTGCTACTGAAAAATGGAAAATCTTCAAATAAGCAAATTCTACCCTTACCAAAGAAAGCTCAGACAATTCTTGTTGCTGGAAGCCATGCCGACAACTTGGGTTACCAGTGTGGCGGGTGGACAATAGAATGGCAAGGAGACACTGGAAGAATCACAGTTGGTGTGTAGGGCAGATTATCCGAACTAGAAAAAGAGCATGATATAACCCTCATTTAGGAGAAATTATTCTGTGCGGAGACCGAAAGCTGAACGTCGTCCGGAGATCAATCAGAATGTTCCACGCCAGCAATACCGAGCCGCGGTACCGAGCAAGGGACTATATTGCGCATTCTTATTAGTATCCGGACAGTATTCGGCGTCTGCAAAGAATAATTAATCCTCATTTAGACCTTAAAAATGCCCATTCTATGCCAAAACCCAAATAAATTTTTATTTTTTATTTTTTCTGTTGCAGGAACAACAATACTAGAAGCCATTAAATCAACAGTTGACCCTGCAACCAAAGTTATCTACTCTGAAAACCCAGACACTGCGTTTCTCAAAAGCAACAATTTCTCCTATGCCATCGTCGTCGTCGGCGAAACTCCCTACGCCGAAACTGACGGTGACAGCTTGAACCTGACGATCCCAGAACCCGGTCCGAGCACCATCCAGACTGTCTGTGAATCCGTCAAGTGTGTTGTCGTCCTTATCTCCGGCAGGCCGGTTGTGATAAAACCATATGTTCCGGTTATAAACGCCCTGGTGGCTGCCTGGTTGCCGGGGACTGAAGGACAGGGGGTAGCTGATGTCCTGTTTGGAGATTATGGATTTACGGGGAAACTTCCGAGAACCTGGTTCAAATCTGTAGATCAGTTGCCGTTGAACGTTGGCGATAAGGATTATGATCCATTGTTTCCCTTTGGGTTTGGATTGGTTACAGAGCCTGGAAGCGCTTGAGATTGGTCATCGTAGTTATATATTCATCTATATCTTGCCAGGTTTCTTGAATTTGTGATGATTTGTGTTTCTGGAAATTGATTGTATATTTTAATGGAATTAAACCCAGGCAATGTGTTTTGATTTAAAATTATACAATCGATAAGATTATTTGATTTCCTAAACCTTTTAATCTATATTATTATTAAAAAAAATCACTTAAAAACATAAAATATTAGTCATCAAATAAATGCACTTATTCTTAAAAAATATATTTTCTATTCGTATGTTAATTTAAGAATATATATAATATTAGTTAAAATTAAAATTTAATATTTTTATCATATATAAATATGTGATTTTTTTTAACACTATCATTGTCAGGTCCTAAGTCTGGATGAGAAAAGTGAAGGGTTCTGTTAGGTAGTTGACAGCTAGCGTAAAACTTATCCGATAAACATGACATGAATTCTTTTAAAAAATGTGATAATGCTAGGGTGTCCTTTGGAAGCGACGCATTGTATGACCTGAATACCATGACAAGTGTGTAAGGACTACAACACCGGTGTTCGATTGCAGTTTAAATAGACAATGGTTCTCACATCAAGGACTGATGTTGGCAAAGAAGTTAGTCCAACAAATTAAAATTAGGATATGAACTTGAAATATATGTTCACTTACAGGAAAATTAATGAAATTAATAGATATTATGATTCATAGGAAAATAAATATTTTATGCATTCAAGAAATTAAATTGGTTGGTGAGAATGCTAAGGAGTTTAATAGTTTATGATTTAAATTATGATATTCAAGTAGAAGTCCTACTAGAAATAGTGTAAGTGTGATTATAAATAAGAGTTTGAACGATAATGTTATAAAAATTAATAGAATTGGAGATGAAATTATAGGTTTAAAGATTGTTGTTGATTCTAAGATTATTAATATTATAAGTGTATATAGTAGGTTTTGATATGAGTTCAAAATGAAAATTAAAAAAAAAAAATTAGGACTTACAAAAATTAATATAAAAGATACATTTTGAAGAAATAATTTTTATTAGAGGAGATTTAAATGTGCATGTTCTTAGAGAGGTAGATGTTTTTAAAAATATTCACAGTGATCATGATTTTGAAATAATATTAAATGAATGTGATAAGATTATATTAGATTTTTTTAACTTATAATTTTTAATTATTAATACAATATTTAATAAAAGGGATGAGCAACTTATCATTTATAAAAATGAATATATTAAAACTCTAATTATTGTTTTTTATAATAAAATTAAATTATTTAAATTACAAAAATTATAAAGTTATTCTGAGTAAAAATTTATGTGAATTTTAAGGTATAGTCATGTTCAAATGATTAAATTAATTCCATCACTTTTTTATTTTTATTTTTTAATTTTGAAATAATGATTTCTATCATTCAAAATAACTTTAATAATTTATTCTATAATTTTTAATTTAAGTTGGCTTTTGAATTTAGGAAAAAAATAAAACTATAAATAAAGTGAATCAGCCTTCACCGTTCGCGCCACGTCACTCGACAATTTCCCTCCGTCCACCCGCCACCATCTTTGTTCGACGTATTATTATTCTCTTAAATTAGCAAATCGAAGCAGAAAATTTCAGTTAGAGAGAGAAAAACAGCAACAAACGACAGCGAGGTCCAAAAGAATGAAAAACTGAAAAGAAAAGGACCTCCTAGGGTTTCAAATCCTCCTCCCTCCCTCGTTCCATGCAGCTTCGAATTACGATTCCACGAATATCGCTGGCATTTCTCTTTCTTATCATTCTATTGTTTACCTTGTTCCTTGTTCCTTGTTCCTTTCGCTAATTCCGTCTCAGCATAGCTAGAGAGAGGCGAAAGCTGTCTTTAACGACTTGCATTCGCCGACGTAGGAAAGATACAATCAAGCCCGACGGAGCCGATACTTTCTTGAATGCTGCTGTCGCTGCCTCCACCACGTTTATGGATGTGGAGATCAGCAGCGGCGGCTGGGGTAGCGTTAATTTTCAGCCATGCAATTGCTCTTGCTCTTGCCCTTACTGCGGTTCTGGTTCTCAACCTTCTTCCCCCTTGCCCAGAGCCTTGAAGCGCAAGCTTGAGCAAATGGAGGAGGACGCTCAGTGCGGGCGTCCGGAGGATGTGGCGCGCGTCGAGATCGAGATAGAAGCGGCTGCTCTTCGGGAAGCCCTCGCAAACCAGCAGCAATCCATGCAGGTGCTCTGTACCGAGCTCGAGAAGGAGCGGGCTGCAGCTTCCACTGCCGCATCCGAGGCCATGTCGATGATTCTCCGCCTCCAACGAGATAAAGCAGAGGCCCAGATGGACGCACGTCAGTTCAAGCGCCTATCCGAGGAGAAAATGTCTCATGATCAGCAAGAGATTGCTCTCCTTGAAGATCTTCTTTTCAAGCGAGAAGAAGCTGTGCAATCCTTGTCCTGCGAGCTCCAGGCTTACCGTCACTGTCTCCTCTCCTATGGCATCGACCCTGCCACTATTGAATCCAATTCCTCCAACGCCGTCACCGCTGCGACCACCTCAACAGCCGCTGGGGACGGCGGCAATGCCTATTCCTCTCTCCGCTGTGAATTGGCCGATTTCAGGACAAATGTTGTGGACCCGGAGCTCAAGTATGCCGCCGGTGACAAACCCCGTAGTCCCATTCAGCGCATGCCTAGTATCATCATGGAAAAGGGTGTAATCGAAAATAGCCATTCACCCAGCTGGGCACAGCGGGCTATGCGCCGGCTTTCCATTGACAGTTTGGGTTCTGCTTCATCCCGACAGGAGTTTGGAAGCACTGAGTTACCATCCATGGCAGATTGCGCCTCTGATGCATGTACCGGTGTGAGGGATGACATAAGTGATCGAGTGTGCACTATTGATGCCGTGCACGACGTGGATGGGATGTATGATAGGGCTGATATGAGCACGGCGAGGGACTTTTTAAGCAGGAGGGATGCGGGTAATAGAACTGTGGATGAAGGAGAGGTTAAGAAGCTCTATATGAGGCTGCAAGCGTTGGAGGCAGACAGGGAGTCAATGAAGCAGGTTATCATGACGATGGGGACGGATAAGGCACAGAGGATTCTGCTTAAGGAGATTGCTCAGCAGTTGTCTAAGGAGGTGGTGCCAGAGACGAGGATTGTAAAGAAGCCTTCTTTAATAAGGAGTTTCTCTATAATGTCGGTGGTTAAGGTAATTTGTGACTAAACTACCTTTTGTTTATTATTTCCATTTCATGTTCTTTATTCTCAAGCTCTGCCTGGCTGAATATTTAAAAAATAACGTTAATTTCTTATGCATTAGTATTCATAACCGTGAGTATGACATATTTGTATTTTTGTTTTTTTCTAAATTTATTTGTAGGGAATTTAAATCCAGACTTGTTTGTGAGCTTTAATTTATAATGTGTCAATTTTCTTGAAGTGTTTAGCGAGGATTCATGATACTAGGGTTGATTTATTATCATGCCCAACTTTTTTTAACATGTACAATAAACTTGACAAATTTTTTGAATGTGATATGTACAGCAAACTTGGAAAAATTTTTTGAATCTTAGATGCTGTGCATTTTTTTTGGTTTACCCTTCTTGATATATGTGAAGTTTGGAAAATGGTCAAAAAGATTGGTGTATTGTATCTAGTCTAACTTTCGATTGGTTCATAATGGAGAAAAAGAAGATAAGCTTGGTTCAAGACAAACAACATGAAAGTTTAGAATTTGGATTAGTTTTCTTTTGGGAGAGAAAATGATGAGGACATCAGTAGGAGATTCTGGAATGTCTATCGTCGGAAGCATCGTAGATCGACGGCTACAATGAGGTGTTTATATATTTGATATGTTGTATGTATTAATTCAGATTTCCTTTATTTACATTTATACCCTTGCTTGTGTGTTGACTTGAGTCGTAGCCCCATGGGCATTTTTAGTCTTTTTATTTTCTTTTTCTATGAGTCCTATATATTAGGTCCTTGGTCTTGGATGATGATGATGAATGAAATTTCAGCTTTTCTTGTTTGATCTCTTTGTGAGTTCTTGAGGGGAGAAACTCTAAGAGAGGTCCTTACAACACCCGTCAGCCGCCGGTGGGTTCTGGAACTCGCGGTTTGTCTTCATTCTTCCCCTTCACACTAGGCCAACTCACTCCCCTCTCCCCCACCACTGGCCACCTCTTCCTTGTCCCTTGATGATGATTTCAATCATCATTAATACCTTCCTAAACTAGCAAAATTAATCTGGGGTAAGGATTCAATTCAATTTGAATTTCAAATACTTTCCAAATTAAGAACGCTAAATTATGAAAGTTCCTAGATTTGATTTAATTTAATTTTAAATTAAATTGGATTTAATTCCTTCATCCCTAATTTAGAATAATAAATTAGGAAGCTCATAAATCCCTCCCCAATCTTCTCCTCCTCTCTACATGCCGCCGCCCCCATCATTGGCCACATCCCCCCTCTTGCCTATTGATCCATTAACCCTTATTTGAATTTGAAATTGAATTTCAAATTCTATTCCCTCCCCATTTAATTAAATCTAAAATTAAATTCAGATTTAATGGCCTTTCCATAACCCAAACACTAGACCCAACATAACCCTAATTCCCTCTACCCTTGGCCGGCCCCCTCCCTTGTCCACCCTCTTGGAATTCCCCAAATCTCATGAGCTCTCTTGCAAGAAAAAAAAGTCAAGCATCTCTCTTCCAACGTCCCACTAGTGCATGACCGATCCTAACGTTGATCACGGGTTCATATATGATAATCAAGGAAGGAAAGACATTCTTCGATCTCCATTCTTCAATTTGAACTTGGAGTTTGACGAAACCGTCGAAGTATACATCGAACGCATTATATTTACATTAGCCCCTTCCATCGAGGAGCATCTTCCCTCCGGACGGTGGAGGATCACCGGTCATCTACACACAATCCCTCCTCCGGCTAACTTTCGTTGGATCTCTACCCTTGGCTTCCTCTCCTTCGTGGTGGCATCTTTCGGATTGTGGCGACTCTTCTTCTGCTAACCCTTAAAGAATGTGAGTGAAGGAAATTCGATGTGACTTTTCTCTTTGTTATGTGGTGGATTGTTAGTATCTTGCACTATCGTTTTCATTATATAATTGATATTATTTTGAGATCTTGTTCTTCTATTGTGTGTTTACTTGATCATATCAATTTAAACAATTTTAAATTTGTAAAATCTTTTCAAAAGTGAAACATTAGTTGAAGTTACGACGCCTAATTCAATCGTTATAAATTTCTACGTGCAATTCCTATTTGGTTTCACATCAGAAAAGGCATATCATAATGAGTGAAGAGCAGAAGAAATGAGATAAAGAAAGAGAAACAACAAACACAACATTAGAGTAGTCTGGCATGATGACCTATGTCCACTATATAGGAGGGGAGAGATTTCACTACTCAAAGGGAGGAATTACAATCTCAAATTTTTTACTTAATCACTAGAACTATAATTTAATAAACTTTATGGGCTTGAGTTCATCTTTAGAGCGTCTCATCCTTGAGGAACTAAATGTGTGTTTTCTGATGCTATTTTCTTGTTTGTTTCATCGAGAGGTTTACTCTTCCTCATCCCCAACACTTAGTAATTGAGTACTTGAATGATGAGACAGGAATGACTTTTGTCATCTTGAAAATGTCAAATTCACTAGTCACCCAGGTGAATGGAGTGATGTTGTACCTTAAGGACTCCTTTCCCTCCTATTAGACATTATTGAGAGTTAAATCCAATCTAGGGACCGCTTGGAAGCAAAAAATTCAATGACAAACTGCTTGAAAATCTCATTGAAGGAAGAAATATTATTGGAATGCATATAATTAAACCACCTACGCATGACATCCTTGAGTTTAGTATCCAACACCTTAGGTTCACATCATCTTCAAAACTATCAATATGATTACAAGTTTGTGTATCTCCTTGTATTTGTTAAGCACAAGTACTTTAAATTTTATTAATAGGGGCTTCTCTAAGTTCATTATGAAGGGGGTGGAGCTAAGGCAAATGGGTGGTGAAATGAAGGCTTCTTTAACGGATGACTGCCTTGACTATCGACAGTTGGAGAGGCCAATACTATTGTTACCAATGGTGCTATGGGAGTTGTCGGCATCGCCAAGGTTGATGGAATAGACATTAAAGTATTACATTATGAGGCAAGGTGGACATAGTTGTAGACTTAACCACTGTGACATAAAAAAAATTAAAAAACCACTGTGATATGAGTTATGGTGGTAGAATGGAACACTTACTCTAGCAGAAGATCCATCTTCCTAGAAAGCTACAGGAATTATGACATCCCAAAATATCTCTGCACATTGGGATGATCCCACTCCAACATTGCCAGCATCAGCATGAGATATTGACGAATTTTTTTTTCCTTTTTTTTTTTTTTGAGATATTGACGAATAATGTTAGTGATAGGTTCCCACAATAGGTCAGGTTCTTTTTAGCCAATCCAAACAATCTCAATGAGAGAACTAGAAAAATATGAATTATAGAAAAAAGTTGGAAAATGACAAGCTAGAAAGCATATGAGTTTCAATTTGCCCGCCAGAGTGAACATGAAGAGAGGCTTGATTTAAGACAAAAGATAGAAAGTTTGAGCGTTCACGGACCGCTAGAAAAAAAAAAGGCTAAATTTAAGACAAGCAATAAGAACATTGAGCATTTAGGCTAGTTTATTTATTGGAGAGGAAAGCCTTCCTGAAAAAGTGAAGAGTATAAGAAATGAGAGACGTAAAATGTTTAAGTGGTAATAGCCTACATTCATCATATGAGGGGGAAGATTTCCCTACTCAAAGTGAAGAATTATAATCTCTCTCTCTCTCTCTCTCTCTCTCTCTCTCTCTCTCTCTCTCTCTCTCTCTCTCTTTGTGACTGCAATTTAGCATTGTTTATGGGCTTGAGTTTGTCTTTACAGGGTCCCCATCCTTGAGAATGCCTAGGAGATTATTTATAGGCATTTACCAGGTTTAGGTTGTTTTAGAGTGGATTACGATGTGGAAGCCACAGGCAACCAAATCAGGCATTAGCAGACATAGTGGTTCATGTAAAGGGCTAGAACGGATTAGGTGACAGACATTATATGGTTGGATGATTCGCAGTCAATTATTATTCTGGAAAGTGACTGAGATTTGTGGAAGAGGGATATTATGTTCATACATGAAGTTTTCGTGGCATAGCCATTACTTCGTACAACAAGTGACCATTTTGTGACTCTTGAATGGTTAGAGAGGGCGAGAAAGGACGGAGAAGGCACCCAAACTTAAGGCGTAATCTTATGAATTCTGAAGAACAAATTTAGTTGAGGATGAAATATTTCAAGCAGTCTAGCTGTGGTTTGATTGTGTCGATAGTTATGTTGCACCAATACGGATACGGCGCACAAATATGACACGATACGGATATGGGAACGTCAATTCTTAAAAATACAGTATACGGGTACGGCGTGGACACGGCATTATTATTTATAAATCATACATAAAAATTAAAAAAACAATCAAAGCATAATATTTGAAATAAAAAAAAATGACAACAACATCATTTGTAGTCTTATAGCTTAAAGTATCAAAATATACGTATTAAATGTCTAGTACAACAACAAAAGCATAAACTTAAATTGTCTAGCACATGAAGTTTCAACTATTCAATATAAGGCATGATATGATTAGCTTCTTTAGTGGTTTGTCATTGAACTTCTATATCATCTTCAATAAATATCATAGCTTCTAATTCAGGCTTATCAAGTGAAAGATTAGTAATTTCTAATATTCTCATATCATCAAGAGACTCAAATCCATCTCGGAAATGAGAGAACCTTGCTCGCAGCCGCAGAAGTAAATACAACACATTTTTTTTATTTCTTTTTGTTTTTCAACAGACACGCGTATCGAATACACGTGTACTTTTGAAATTAAATAGTATTTTAATTGGATATGGCTTTGGTGTATCCGACACGTATCGGTGGCGTATCGGAGATGTATCTGTATCGGTGTATCAGATACAACACACCTTCATAATAAGTGTATCAGTGCAACATAGGTCGATAGTTCTTGATCAATCCAATTGGCACGAAACGGGATGCAAATTTGATGATAATCTTTGAACTATTCGATAATTCTTCTTGAATCAAACCAACGATGATCCCAAGAAGTTGGAGAGAGTTCAAGGATTGTTTGATGGAACATTTTCGAACTGGCAGGGGAGGAGACTTCTACGAGCAATTCTTCTCCTTGACATAGGATGGTTCAATGATGGAGTACCGGGGGAGATTCGAGTACCTTGCTAGCCGATTGGACTTCCTTCTTGAGACAGTGCTAGAGAGAAATTTCATGAAGGGACTGACACTAGAGATCTGAGCAACGGTTAAAGTAATGAGGGCCTCATGACTTGGGAGAGTTTATGGAGCTAGCTCAATTAGTGAAGGATCAGAGGCACCTGGAGATAGAGATGGGAAGTAGTAGCTCAGGAGGTCCGAACTGGAGGACCACCACCTTTCTAGCACTCAAGGAGCCAATACCAAGTACTTTTTGGGAGACTTCGAAGGAGAAGACTGTAGGAGTAAGACATCGGGACAACTTCAAGAAGCTCATATAAACGGAATTACAAGAGAAAATGGTGAAGGGGCTCGGTTATAGATGTGACGAGAGGTATGGGGGCACTAGTGTAAGGACCGAACTCTTCAGGTTCTTACCGTTTGTGATGAAGAGGGAATGGAGGAGAGTGTTTCCACCTTACGGACAAGGTGGGTCTTTGGGAGGGGAGTATTTTTAGACGAATCCATTGAATCGGTCCAGTCGGTCCACACGGGACTAGCTTTGGAGGAAAGAGGCGGAAGAGTATGCCTCTCATGTACAAGCCGCAAGGGTTAGGGAGCTGTTTTGGAAGGATTTTTGAGGGATTTGGGAGGGAAATTTGAATGTAGGGACTGTTTAGAGATTTTCTTTTGAATTGTATGCATTAAATAATTTGTTTATCTAGGGTTAGGGCATCTTGAATTTGGCTGAAATTTGAGACTCTTAGGTTTAAGTTTCCTTGGGGCTCTAGCGGTGTCTAGAGAATCGGGAGAGATCGATCTTGTTTGTTTTTGTTCCGTTAGTTGATTTTTCTCAATTAAGTGTGTTTTTTTTTTCCTTTGATTTTTCCTCTACTTGTTAAGTATTCTCGTTGATTTTGTCAAGATCGTTAGGTTTCATTTGAGATCTTCAAGTGTTTCATATCAGCTTGCATATATGATGTGTGTGAGTTTTCCCTAATTGATCTAAATGTCCTCCCAAAAAAAGTGTATTATTTAAAATTCAAGATGAATAATCTCCTATTTTTTATGTTCAAGTGAATCATCTTTCTTAATTGATGTTGAATTTGCTTGAATCAAGCTTCACTATCCCGTTTCATCAGCCGATTAAAATTTGAGTATTTGCCGATTACAAATAATAAGGAACTCATATTTATGGAGATAAACTAATTTATATCTGAATTTATTCAAGCTAATTCTAATTTATATTTGTATTTCTGAGCAAATCATTGTGAATTTAATAAAAACTGCAAAAAATATTGATTGCAAATTCTGTGTTCATCAAGATTTCGAGAATTCTATCTTTCAAACATCTTTGTGCTAATCTTTCTATGTATGTTTGTTTGATTTTTTCTTTTCTTCAGTGGGTGGCATCATTTTTCTCTTGGAGGAAGAAATCACCAAGGATCAAGTATGCACATTGGGTGTTTGTTTTTTTGTCTCTACCTTGTAGCGTATTATCAGAGTTAACTAAAGCCCGCACGCTATTATAATATCAGGTACCCCATTGGTTTATCAAATCAGAAGACCGGCTTATTGATTCTTCTGGACAAGTCCAAGCGCAAGAGGCTGAAGAGGTGTCTCACCAGACTACCTAGTTGATTATAATCATCACCTTCTCCATGGGTACTGTATTTTGCTTCATAAAGTTCATTGGCTTATTATAACTACATATTAATTTCTTTTATTTATAAACCAGAAATAGCTTACTGTAAGAGGCTATTTTGTACATTTTATTCTATTCTATTTTTTGTTTGTTAAGAATTAAGGAAACTTTACCTTAGCACCAGCTGAGTTCAAGAGAAATTTGTGCTTGGAACGCTAGCAGAGTTTGTTTGATTGACTGTATCGATGTTTATAATTGCTCGACTTCGGCTTTGTTTGGGATGATTTTCTTATTGCTTTTTAAAATGGCTTTATAGTATAAAAATTTTAATTTTGTACTAAAAAATTGTTTTAAAAAACAGTAAGAAAATCATCGGAGACAAGTCTTGTTTTTAAATTGTTCTTGTTGTATTACTCTTTGTTGTCATACAATGAAAATTTTAAAAATTATTGTAAATATTTTGAGATTGAAGGTTTGTTTGGGATGATTGTTGTGTTTAATAAAATTAGTTGTAAAATTATTATAGGGAAATAACTTAGGCTTTGTTTGGGGTGATTTAGACTTTTTTTACTTTAAAATTAAGCAGTAAGAAAGTCGTCTCATACTAAATATTAATTAATATGATTAACAAAAATTATTTTTTATTATAGAAATAAAAAAATAGTAGTGAAATAAAATTATAATTATTGTCTGAAAATTAAATCAACAAAAAAATATCTCAAATTGTTTACCCTAAATTTCTCATATATGGAATTTGTGCTTTGATTTCACTGTTTTTTAACCTTTAGTACCGTAAAAGGAAATTGAAGGTTGAACTTTTGTTGGTCGTAATTAGAATTTAACAACGCAAAAATTGAATTGATATTTTAAGAATTGAATCGAATAAATTAAATAAGATCATTTTAAATCGATTTTTTATTCATATCCCTAGTTGTAAGTGGTTGATTGAAACCTAGGTCATGCTTAGTTTTTTTTTTTTTTCCTGTTTTTGCAGACTGTAAACAGATAAAGAACTTGTTCTTCAGTGATTATCTGATCGCTTTTACTTAAAAAACATTAAAAAAAAAAATGATGATTTGATTTCGCTTTATGCGTGAATAATAACATTTTATAGGTTTTTGGGCAAATGATTCCACAATTAATTTTGATATATAAACAATTCAGTATTGGATCCAACAAATTTAAGCAACTAAATGGGCTCTTAGTTAAATTGACTGTAACATCCTCTTAGGAAGGAGAAATTATTCTGTCCGGATGTTGAACACAGCTCTACATCTAGAGAACAATCAAAACGAGTCACGTCAACAATACCGTGCGCGGTACCGAGTGGTACCAAGCAGTACAGAGCCACGGTACCGACATGATTCATTCTGATTAATCTTCGAACGGCGTTCGGCGTCCTCACAGGAAAATTTCTCCTTAGAAAGATCTTGTTGTTCCTGGCTGATCAGCTTAAGGCATTTTTGCAGCATAATATCTAATTCTTCTAACAAAATTATAAAATGACCAAATATCATATGCTAACACAGCATACTGCTGGAGTTTCATTGTCATAAAAAGATTAAAATAAAAAAAAAACTACGAAGCTGTTTGATTGGATATATTTGAAGTACATATATATTTTAGAAGTATAACATAATCTAGTGGAATGAAAATCAAATATTACTATTTTTTTAGTATTTGACTATTTGTCGAGCTCTTTTTTTTTTTCCTTTCTTTTCTCTTTAGGTTGAGAGGGTCACTCACAGGTCGGAGAGAGAATAATGGTGGCAAAGTCGGTGACTAGGACGGCAACAACGAGTTCAATGCTACAAGAAGGGTAGGAGGGATTATAGTCACGATGGAGGCGAGGCTACAGATGATGACGAATCCCGTGGCGGTGCAAATAATACTGCCGTGGTAGGGTGGTATTGTGGACGACGATTATGTAAGCTTAAGGTTGTGAATAAGGGTGTCAATATGTCATGACCCAAAATTTTTTTGTTCGGGTCAACCTGTTTGGAAAACGGGTCGGGCTTGGGTTTCAAATTCTAACACAACTGAAAATTTAGGTCGGGTTCAAGTTAGCCTGAAAACCTGAAATCAACTCGACCGACCCGAGTCACGTTGACCCAGCGCAACCCCATTATTCGCACCCCGCGTTAGTGGCCTCGTGCTTCCCCTGCACCCACGCTTGCACTCTTGCTAGCACTCGCACCCGCACGGCCACATCCTCACTCGCGCTCACACCCAAGCTCGTGTCAATCGCACGTGCTTACAACTCGAGAGCCTCGACCCCTCGCCGGCTCATCCTTGCACACTCGCCCCTGCCTTTGCGGCCCCTACGCTATCCCGCTCGCGCCTTGTGGCCTTACGGTTAGTGGGTCGGGTCAAGTTGGGTCAACCCGAGTTAGAGCATGGTCAAGTTCACATATATGACCCATTTTGTAATTCGGACTTGCTTCACGTCAACTAAATTGGACCCAGGTCAATTTCGAGTTCAACACGAACCCAACTGAATACCCACTTTGACATCCCTACTCAATAGCTTCATCAATCCAGAAATCAATGATCATCATTTCATTTGAATCTCATTGGCATGTTGCATTATCATTCGGCTTCACCTCATCATTTACAACAGAAGAACTGTCCTCTGCAATGGGAACCATTATTTCCTCGCAGGTCTTCACCTGGATTTCTTCATCAACTTTCCCTTGAACAGCAAGACAATTTGCCAGTATATCGTATGATTCCATGTCAGGTTTAAAACCCTCCTCTTTCATTCTTTCTATCCACTCCACTGCTGCCTTTGCGTTCCTCGACAAGCAGTATCCACGCAATACCATATTGAAAGTCTGAGTATCAGCTTCCAGTCCCTCTTCATGAATCTCCACCAACAATTTTTGAACCAAATCCATTCTATCAGTTAAGCACAATCCATTAATTAATCCATTATAGATATCAATCCCTGGTAAAAATGCCTTCCTCAAGATCAGATCTTTCAGCTCAAATGCTTCATTCAATTTTCCAATCGCGCACAGTCGTTTTACAAGATTACCATACAGACTCGGCTTCGGATGATGCCCTCGTCGAACCATCTTAACAAAAATTTTGGATGCTTTCAAACAACAGCGATAGTTACAGAGAGATTCAACAAGTTGACTGTAAACAAACTTCCTATCAATCCAACCCACCAACCTCATGTAGTTGAAAAGATGATTGCCATAATCAGGTCTTCCTTGTTTGCACAACTCCTTGATGAGCAAATTCATAGTATAGCTATTTGGCTTTATCTCATCTTCCAGCATGTTCTTGAAAAGCTCACAAAGAGTTTTCACTTCTCCCTTCTCACAACAACCTTTGATTAGTATATTAAAACTCTCTAAATTAGGCTTATAGTTTTCAGCTTTCAACTTTGTAAAAATCTCTAAAGCTTTCTCCAGTTTCCCTTTCACACACAGGTATTTCATTGCTACATTAAAGATATCGGCACGCAGAACATCGATTTTCCTATTAAGCATGTTGTTGAACAACTCCCAGGCTAAATCTTCTTGTTTCGAACGGAAAAGTTCTTCAAGAAGAACTCTGCAAGAAATGGCTGAAGGACTGAATCCATGAGAAATCATCTCATTTAACAGAGATAGGGAAACATCTGATCTCCTAGAAACAGCCCACTGATGCAACAAATGATCATAATCAGCTTGAATGACAACTAATCCTAGATCTATCTTCTTATGAAGCAAAGAGTCAGCAATGGCTGTGTGCGAGGGGTTTCGATCCTTCGCTAAGACCTGAATGATTGCTGAGTAACCAAGACTGTCATGGCTGAAACCTTCATGATTATCCAACCAACTGAAAAATTTAAAGGCCACATCAGGTTTCTTTATGCGCTTGAGGACTTGAACAGCAATAGGTGGGGTGATCTTAGATGCAGAAGCAACACAGAGCTCCTTAAGCAATGTATCCCATCTGTCTGTCTTCTGGACAATAGAAGCTATACTTCTCACCAGAACATTTGTAGGTACTAACTCATCTTCTTTTTCAATTATTTGAAGTTTAGAATAAAATCGAGCTTTCAGCAGACTATCAAAACCAAAAATACTATTTGCAGTGTTCTGAACCGCAAATCTATGGTGCATAAATCTTGCCATGTCTAAATGCTTACAAGCATTCAGAAAACTTGCTGAGGGCTGTTTCAAGAGTAGCATTCCCTTGATTTGAAATGAAAGAAAAATGATTCTTCTCAGGCCATAAATTTGAAATGACATAGTTGGAGCTCCATTGCACAGAATGTTGATGCATTTGGGGGTTGTTTGGCGTCCTTTTTTAGGCAGGATCTATGCAAGAATTCGCTTTTTGGGAATTTAGATCCTAATATTTCGATAAATTCCTGTTCCATCACCGTTCTTGGTTAAATGCAGGATTTGTTAAATCTCACCATACCAAGGATTGAAAGAATTTAATGATTTATCCGTCACAAAACTTAAATCCTGAAACAAATAGCCAAAAAATTTCTAGTAATGTTGTTATGTCGAATAAGTTTCATTTTTTAAAATCCAACCAAACGCCAAATACCGCCAAGTTAAAACGCCGTTTTAGGCATGTTAGCCCTAAATCCACTAAAATCCGATATTTCGGAGGATTTTCGAGCGAAAGGGGTGAAAGATCCTTACCATCACAGCGAGCTCCCGTCGTGATTTCCGATCCTACAGGGCAACGTTGTCGAAGGCGGCGAAGCAGCTTCCTTTAGAGACTCTTTCAAAACTCTCCTTCACGCCGTAGCACGCGAAGCTCAAGCAGCAATGAAGGCATGGAGACGAGGAAAAGCAAACCCTAGAACAGGACAGACCTAGCGCTATTGGAAGAAAGAATGGCAGGGAAGATATCCTTGCTGCGGCTTCGCTTTATATGGCATGTTTGGCAACAAGTAGTTTAGTAGGAATCACTGGCAGTTCAGCTCCTATTAGTTGTTAGTTTTTATTTTTTAATATCAATTAATAAGTTTTAATTTTAATTTTTATTTATTTAATATGTGTGTGAATTTATTTTAATTGATCTAAATATTTAAAAACATAGAAATATAAATACCATAATCTGATTTTAGTAAATTATTTGAACCACAGTGAACATATAATCAGACTCCACAACAATTTTTTTGGGTGAAACCTGAATATAAATCTTGATATATTCCCCAAAAAAATTGTTTTGATCCAGCACGAATCTCGAGGCAAAATTGAGCCGGAAACTTCAAAAATTAAATCTGGGAGCTCTCGAACTCCGATTTCAGCGAGCTTATAGTCAAACTAAGCGTCTCGGAAATACAAACCCAACGACACCAAATTCAACTCGATCTGAGCCCAAATCAAGCACCCGAAGTGCTGTTGGAAAGCTCATATTGTAATTTGAGTTACCAAACAGTCTCTGATTTTAACGAGCTTATAGTCGAATCGAAGGGCTGGACGAGACGAATCCAACGAACCCAAGATCACCAAATTCTGACATCATTAAGACCTTCAAATGTCTAACTAACGGTGCACGATCAAGGGATTCAATATCAACCGTCCATTCGACCACTCCCTATTTGCCCTTGATCTCACACCTATTTACGAGCTATGTCACTCCAAAAAATCTATATATACACCCCTCATTTCTCATAAGAGGGGACACAAGCAAAAAGAAGAGAAGAATAAGAGAAGAAGAAGAGAAGGAGAGGAGAGAACAGCTGCTCCTCGACCACCGCCGGAGTTCTTCCCGCCGCCTGAATAATGTCTGAATTCTGCCGGACATTTGGGTGACGCCGGAACTCTACACAACTTTTTAAATGAATTTCAATTCAGAAGAAACTCATTGTAATATGATCGTCCTAACTTGTTGGACGAATCAGCCTCTTGTATCTTAAACTACACTAGTGGAACTTTTCAACTTGGCGTGGCCCAGTGATTTTTTTCCCTTTTCAAGGTTTTCCACGTAAAAATCATGATGTTCTTTTATCTTCTGTTTGTGTGTGCTAGATATTCGTACAACGCTCAGACGAAAAAATTTCTAACTCTACCGCCACGTATATTCTAGCCCGCAACAAATCTCAATAATGTTGATACTTGATAGTATTTGCCTATAAAATATTGTTTTTGGCATTGTCATTCAATCATATAGATGGTTTTTATTTCCCTTTTTTCTTCTTCTTCCATTTGTATAGAAGTTTGAGTTCACAAGTTTGCTTGATACAAGAATTCAATAAGAGGCTTTTATTAGTAAGGTAATATAATAATATTTTGCTTTGAATTTTATTTTATTTATTTATTTTTTTATATTTAGTTATTCATTTAATAAATTTGTTCGCCCTCAAAAGTCCAACTGGTTCTACCCCTATACAGTGACCATTATCACTTGACTTTGATCTTTCGGTCACCATTGCTCTACTGCGGTCCCCAACCTTCACCACCCATTACAATCCCCTTGAAATAGAAGTACGACCAAACAATTACATTGAATTAATGTTTTTCCTCGAGAAAAGTCATTATTTATAATATTTGACAAATATTAGTGAAATTATTTTAACTTAGTCATGATCAATAAGTTTTTTTTTTTCTTTTCTTGAGTTTTTCATATAAAAATTATGGCACTTATCTCTCATATATGTGTATAGTGGATCTTCATACAAACGCTTTATCTTCCTCACCGCAAATGTTCTAGCATATAACTAGGGGTGTAAACGAATCAAGTTGAGTCAAGTATCTACCAAATCGAGCTAAGCATGTTTAATTTTTATTGAGCTGGTTTATTTCCTAATAAGCTCGAGCTCAACTTGTGCTCCTTAGCTTGAGCTTGACTAGTTAAAAAATTTATAGCCTCGAGCCCATCTTTATTGCTCGAGCTTGACTTAATTTTTGAATTTTAAATTAAAATTGTCAAATTTTTAATTTTTTTAATATATATCTAAATTAAAAATATTATATACTATTTGTTGCGTGTTAGAAAATACGCGGCGGTAGAGTTTGTAAATTTGCGTCCGAGCGTTGCACGTAAGTTTAACACACAAACAGAAAAGAGAAAAGAACACCAAGAGTTTTTACGTGGAAAACCCGAAAAGGGAAAAAACCACGAGGCCTCGCCAAGTTGCAAAATTCCACTAGTGTTTTCGTAGATTACAAATGGTGGATTTCGTCCCACAAGTTGGGATAATCCAAGTACAATTTGTTTCTTCCACGAAATTTACAAAATTCAGCGAACTCCTGGCGTTTCCTGAAAATCCGGCAGAGTTCCGGCGTCTTCAGGCGGCAGGAAGAGCTCCGGCGGCGGTGGTCGAGGAGGTGAGGAATCTCCTTTTCTCCTTTCTCCTTCTCCTTCTCTTCTTCTTCTCTCTCTTCACTTGAGTTCTCTTAGTGTAGAATGAGGGCTCTATTTATAGTTTTTCTGGAGTGGCATAGCCCGTAAATAGGCATGAGATCAAGGGCGAATTGGGAGTGGTTTGAATGGACGGCCGATATCGAATCCTTTGATCATGCTCTGTTCGTTGGACATTTGAAGTCCTTAATGATGTTGGAATTAGATGATCTTGGGCTCGTTGGATTCGTCTCGTCGAGCCGTTCGATTCGAGTATAAGCTCGTCAAAATCGGAGACCGTTAGGTAACTCAAATTGCGGTTTGAACCTTCCAACAGCGCTTTGAACCCTTGATTCGGACTCATTTGGGCTCGGATTGGGTTGATATTGGTGTCGTTGGGTTCGTATTTCCGAGACGCTTAGTTTGACTGTAAGCTCGTTGAAATCAGAGTTCATATGCTCCCGAAATTAATTTTTGAAGTTTTCAACTAGCTTTTGCCTCGAGATTCGTGCCCGATCAAGATAATTTTTGCGTGATATAACATTATTAATTTAAATTAAATTCTAATTATATTTGAAATTAATCTAACAGTTTAACGAGCTTTCGAGCGAAGCAAGACTGAGCTCGAATTTATTTAATATATGAGCTCAAGTATAAACTCCAGCTCAAATTCATGGCTCCATATACTTGAGCCTAATTCTTGGCTATTAAAATGCTAACTTCAAGAAGAGAAACAAGAAATAATATTTTATTTTATTTAGACTAAAAAAATTGATATAATATCATTAATAAATAAACTGAGAAAAAATATAATAATATCATATAATTATTAAATATATTTAATTAATTTTTTATACATCTTCATTATTATTATTATTATTAACGAAAAGCCAGAGAAGTGCTGAATGCCCTAACCTCTCCTCTTTCCCTCCTTCCGCCCAATTCAACCACTGCGTCTCCGAAATGCCCGGGGCTTTCAGAATACTTTCAGCTCACAATCTATCCAAATCAAGGAAGAAGAAAAGGAGAAGAAGACCTATTTCCGCTACAAATTCCGTATCTCCCAAGACCGTAACAGTAGAAATCAAAACGAATGCATACGAGGAAGAAGAAGAGGAAGCAGATGTAGGATTTAACCTAAAAACATCATCTTGCTCCCAATCCCACATCATTCAACCTTTAGGAAACCTCCTTCTCCTCGACCCCTCAACCAATATCCGTAATCCCGGCCTCGGTAACCTCCAAACTCTCTCCGATGAGGTTCTCGTCGACATTCTCGGCCTTCTTGGCGGTCGCGACCTTGGAATCCTGTCATCAGTGAGCAAATCCCTCTACGTTTTCTCCTCGCACGAGCCTCTGTGGCGGAACCTCGTCCTCGAGGAGCTTAAAGGTGAGTTTTTGTTTTATAAATCATGGAGATTCACCTACATTTCATCCGTCAATCCCTGTTTTTCCCCGTTCTCCACTGGGCCTTCGACCCTCTGCATCAGAAATTTTTACTCCGACTACCTCTTCCAGAGCTGGCTTTGCGCCAATTTGGAAATGAAGCCGGAGTGGCTCCAGAGGGATAATATAGAGAGGAGGCGGAGATTGTCCTTGGAGGAGTTTGTGAATTGCTTTGAGGAGCTCAATAAGCCAGTACTGCTTGAGGGATGCCTTGAACAGTGGCCGGCAATGGAGAAGTGGAGCAAAGACAGATTGGTTCAGATTTGTGGAGATGTTAAATTTGCAGTGGGGCCTGTTGAGATGACAATGGAGAGGTATTTTCGGTATTCAGAAATTGTGAAAGAGGAGCGGCCATTGTATCTATTTGATTCTAAGTTTGCTGAGAAGATTACTGAGCTCGGTACAGATTATGATGTCCCTGTATACTTCAAGGAAGATATGTTTTCTGTACTTGGGAAGGGTCGGCCGGATTACAGATGGATTATAATCGGGCCGGCAGGCTCAGGCTCTTCATTTCATGTGGATCCCAACTCTACTTCTGCTTGGAATGCTGTGATCAGGGGATCAAAGAAATGGGTGATGTTTCCACCTGAGATTGTGCCACCAGGAGTTCATCCAAGCCCAGATGGATCTGAGGTTGCTTGCCCTGTGTCTATAATGGAGTGGTTTATGAACTTTTATGGAGCATCTAGGAATTGGAAGAAGAGGCCTGTTGAGTGTGTGTGCAAAGCAGGTGAGGTTGTTTTTGTGCCCAATGGATGGTGGCATCTTGTGATCAATCTTGAGGACTCAATTGCCATCACACAAAATTATGTTAGCAGGTAGGCTTCTTTATGGTTTCTGGAGTTTATATCTATAGTTTTATTACTCTGTGTTGATTTTTTAGTGAATGATTTGAACTTTTTTTTTATAAAAATTACTGGAGCAAATTTTTGATGGTTGATATTGAGAGCAGTACATGCATAAAGTTAAGATAGTTTATACATTTGGACTTGATTAACAATAGAGCATATATGTTGCTTTCTACTTTGATTTTTATTTGTTCTTCTTTATATGTGGTTGTGCTGGGTGAGTTGGGGGTCGTTTGATCACCAAAAAGATGTGAGTTTTACAATTGTGATTTGTGTGTAGTGACAAAATTGCAGTAGAGGCACATTTTTTATGGTTGATATTGAAAGAAACACATGCATAAAATAAGTCAGATTTTAGATAGTGTTATTCATTCCCACTCAATTGACAACAAAGAATATAACTTTTGGTTGTGGACATTAGATCACAGAAGGATTTTAGGTTGGCATTTATTACGGTGGATACAAATTTTCATGCAGAATTACTCTTTTTGAATTAGATGATATTTTTCAGTTACTTTCTCTGGTAGGATTGGTAATATAATGATTTGCACAAAGCATTTGATAATTGTAAAGATTATAGCTATGTGCTAGAAAATTTGTAGTGGTAGATATTTAAGATATCTTAGTTTTGTACAGATATCTAAGATATACATAAATTAGAGTTGGAAGAGCACAAGAATTTCTTTTATGTGAAAAATTCAAAATAGAAGAAACCATGGGGCTTGAACCAGGTCCAATATATAATTAAGAATATAAGAATCTACCCTTCCTCACAATCGAAGATGGAATTGCACATTTTTGGGAACAATTGTTTGATTTCTATTGAAAGATTATAGAAGTTGGGTTTGCACAATTGGGCAGTTGAAGTCCAATGATAGAGTTGGATGTTACTAGTTAGGCAACAATAGTCGGATGATAAAAATAAGCAATGGTGCAGTCGTTGTTGATGGTGGTCATCGATGGCGATCACCGGTTAGTGCAATTGAGTTATTGTATTCTTTTAGCTCTCAAACGTCCCTCATGTAAGAAAATAAGGTGTTATATATAGCTTTTTAAATGTACACTTTGACAAATTTAATTGTAATTCAAAACACTTAATCAAACGGCTCATTTTGATTCCCTTGATTTTAGATTGTTTATTCAGCATTGAAGTACCTTAATAACCTTAGATTTGACTGATTTTGTTCTCATTGGATTCATCTCGTCAATCCCCGCAATGACTATAACCAAGCAAGCTTTGGAAATCGTTAGATCATTAAGTTAAAGTTCCCAAGTTTTTTATTATATTTCAGGTGTTCAATTTGAGCTTATTTGGAGTGTTATCGGATCACTTGAGTTATTGATGTGTTCGGCTGGTCGAGACGTTCAATTTGAATAGTAGTTTGCTAAAATTGGTGTTTTTATGGTCTTGAAATTAATTTCGGAAAATTTCAATACAAAATAATGCATAAAGATTCATGCTGAGCAAGTGAAATTTTTGAAGATATAGCAATGATAAAGTTGTTCAAATGCAGTTTACATATTGCTCGATATGCCTTTTTGGATTTGACTTGAGCATCGGCATCACCTGCTACAATGGCATCCATCAACTTAATAGGTGAGGTTCCCACAAAGTAAAGTCAAAGAGTGGGTTGGGGATGTAGAAGAGGATTGTGGGTCCCTTAAAGAGGGGTGGAGCCCTAACAAAATAATGGTGGTTCTGATTGTGGTGGTGGTGGTGGTGGTGATGGTGGAGTTGAGATTGAAGTTGGAGAAAAGTCTTGCAACGATTCTTACAATATTCTACTTTCCATTGTGTAATCTTGTTTCAGCTTTCTTAAAATTAGTTCTGGTTACGCATTGTATTTATCAAGTTTTTTTCTTCATAGTTTGCAGCCTATTGATAAGTTTTTTTTTTTTTTAAATAATTATTTACTATTTACAATCATAATATTTGATTCTCGAGTCTAGATGGTTCTGAAACTCTTAAGTGTGAATATGAGTATTTCAGACATGAAGAAACCTCCATTTATTATAGACTTGAGTTTTCTCAAATCTATAATCTGAAAGTAACTCTCTTGAATGAAAATTTGCAGGAGGAATCTCTTAAACGTGCTTGATTTTCTGAAGAGGCCCAATGCAAATGAGCTCGTTTCTGGAACCAAAGATCGAGTAAATTTACATGACAAGTTCAGAGCTGCCATTGAAGCAGCTTTACCTGGGACAATTACTCAGCTTGCTGCCAAAGCCAAGGAGAAGATGGCTCAGAATAAGCAGCTAAACTTCTGGGAATCTGTCGCTGATGCAAATACCGGAGGATTCAAGTTCTCTTTCTAAGCTGATTGCATCCAAATTTTAGAGAAGTATCTTTCTTTATTTAAATTTTTGTTCAGAATCTACTGATTCTAACTATGAGGCGCAGATTATTAAGATGCATATGAGAATGTAGAATAGTCCTTTGTTAGAATTAAAATAAATGCCAAGTTCTTTATATATTTGATGTCAAAAAAAATAAGGAGCATTCATTTTTGTTCAAAAATTTTCAGATCTCAAAGCTTCTTTTTTTCTCTTTTTAAGTATGCAAATTAGAGGTGTGATACTCTTGTTTTTTCTCTTTTTAAGTGTGTGAATTATAGAGGAATTAAGCTAATGTGTCATACTTTAAAATTATGGGAGCAAGTTATGGAGCATAGGCCATAGGTTGTGGCGTTATACTAATGTTTCTCAAAATTAATTTTGATTCATGCCAGGTAGGTCTACTATGGAAGCAATATATTTATTCAGAGGTTTGATGGAGAAATATAGAGATAATAAGGGGAATCTACATTTGATATTTATTGATTTAGAGAAAACATATGATAAGTTCCTAGGGAAGTGCTATGGGGAGTTCTTGAAAAGAAATGAGTTAATATTTCTTATATTCAAATCATTGAAGATATGTATCCAAGAGCTATTACTTGTGTTCAAACACAAGGTGGTTTGACCAAGTATTTTCCTATTTCGGTTGGATTACATCAAGGATCAACCTTAAGCCCGTATCTTTCTGCTTTAGTCATGGATGTTCTCACTAGACATTTGCAAGAGGATGTACCTTGGTGTATGCTTTTTGCTGATGATATTCTTCTTGTTGATAAGATTATAGAGGGAGTTTAAGCTAAACTTGAATTATGAAGGTCAACTTTAGAGTCTAAAGGTTTTCGCTTGAGTAGATCTAAAACTGAATACATGGAGTGTAATTTTAGTAGTAATAGACCTAGTAAGTAGATTGTGACTTTGGGCGATCAAGTCATTAATAAGAGTACACGTTTTAGATAACTTGGATCTATTGTTCAGAGTGATAGTAAAATAGATTGGGATATTATCATCAGAATTCAAGTTGGATGGTTGAAGTGGAGGAATGCATCGGGCTTGTTGCGTGATAGAAAAGTTCCCCTCAAATTTAAGGAAAAATTATATAAGATGGTAGTGAGGCCTGCAATGCTTTAGGGTGCCGAATGTTGGCCTTTAAAAGCGAAGCATAATACTAAGTGTTGCAGAGATGAGGATGCTCATGTCGATGAGTGGCTTTATCCTTAGAGATATGATACAAAATGAGCATATACGTGAAAATGTTGGAGTAGCTCCAGTAGAAGATAAGATTAAAGAGAGTCGGCTTAGATGGTTTGGTCACATAAAACAGCGGCCTTCCGATGCCCCGGCTAGGAAAGTAGAAGTATTAGATTTGACTTATGTTAAGAAAAGTAGAGATAGACCTAAAAAAACTTGGTTCAAAAATATTAGAAATGATCTTTCTTTATTAGATTTAAACAACAATTTAAATTTTAACATGACACAATGGAGAAAAAGGATTCATCTAGCCGACCCCATATAGTAGGACAAAGGCTTAATGTTATTGTTGATGTTGTTGTTGTAAGTATGCAAATTATAAACTTTTGGAATTGACTTCTAATTCATTTGAACTTTGTCTATAAAGACAAATTGAGTAATACTAAGAACATATTGATCGAGTTTAGATGGGCTAAAATCAAACATTCATAAATATAGCTAAAAATTTTATGAGGCTATTTGAGGGTCGAATGTTATTTAATTTTATGTGTTTATTCTCAAAAGGAGGGTACATTTAAATTTTCATGCTATACTCAGATCATAAACTTTCCTCAATTGTCATTAATGTTTTAGTTCACATCAACACGAATAGTGATCTTTATCATTATCTTAAATTTTGTTAATTTATGTCTATCATTTCATTAATATATCATGTTCAACTTACAACCTCTATCTCCCACCCTCCTAAATAAATTAGGTCAATAACAAACCAATGCTTAATGATCCTCATGTATCATTTTCTATTACAAATTAGAAAAGCACAAGTAAGCACTTATCCCTTGATGTATCCTAAGTTGTATGATTAAGATTTCATTTATGACTGTTTCTTATTGCTTTCTAAAACAATTTTATAGTAAAAAAAAAAAATTAATTTTAAAAAAATTGTACTTAAAAACAGTTTTATAGAACAAAAATTTAAATTTCATGAAATTTGTACTAAAATTTTACTTTAGAAAGTAGTAAAAAACTGTCTCAAATGAAACCTAAATTATGTGACTAATATTAATTCACATATAATTTAGATTTCATTTGGGATGATTTTCTTACTGTTTCTTAAACTAGCTTTTTAATACAAAAATTTTAATTTTAACAATAGAAAATTGTTTTCGAAAGCACTAAGAAAGCCCTCTCAAACAAAACCTTAATTAATACAATTACTTGGCATGAATAATTTTCATTAAGCAATGAAATTAATTTGATGTGTTTCATAATGAAATACATCCTTATAATTCAAAAAGGAGTGACTTAAACAACCAGAAATGTCATATTCTTTAGACAAATTTGTTGAAGATTGGGGGTCTAAGGCTGTCTCTTTTAAACCTTGGCTTCTCCTCGTTGGATACACATGTGTGGGTATTTTAATTGAAGAGGTGCTGTTGGCTTATTTTTAGCCGTTCAATTAAATTGGGGAGTTGGGATTAAATTCATCAAAAATAAAATGGTTTTGGATATGTATAATGAAATAATCTGAACCGTCTAAAATAAGATATGGTGATTGGAATGAATGAACCGTACACTTTACAATTGTCATGATTTGTGTAGATAATTCATATCTTTGGATCTACGATTGCTATCGTTGTCAATATCTATGGGGCCACTGCCACTCTGTAATCAGGAGAAATTATTTTGTGCAGAGTTTGGACGCATTTGAAGGCCAATTCGGATGCACCATATATGTCACTTAATGCACTATGTATTGGATGATGTGGTGCGTCTGTACACCGCACTTTATAATTTTTTTTTTATTATGAGAGGAATTTTCATTGAATATGTCATAACTCATAACCCTTCATAAAATTAGGCATTATATATATTGCCCATAGTCTAACATAATATTTTGAGAGGATCGTTTTTTTACTAATTTCTAAAATAGCTTTTAGTTAAAAAATTTTTAAACTAAATAAATTTTGTACTAATTTTTTTGTAGAAAGTAGTAAGAAAGGCGTTCCAAACGAAGTCTGAATAATTTATGAATCTTGACTCCTTTTAAGCATAAGAGCTTTGACAAAAGGAATCTAGTGTAAAGTCCAAAGATCAAATTTAGAAGAAGTGTATAGTTATCATTTCAAAAAAATATAACAGAGTTTCTATAAATTATCAATATAAATAATAACAGGCGAAAGAAACTAACAATTATATACTTCAAAATATTGTACTATATTCATTATCCCAAAATTAATATGCAATAGTCAGGAGATCAGTATAATCACTAATCTATCACATGCTCATGACTACAAAAGACTAAAAAAAAAATACATATCAAATTTGAAGAAGAACCTAATAATCTTTATCAGTATCACTGCTTATGGTCCTGACCCTTTCCTTGACCTGAAATTATTTAAACTATATACAATGAGCTAAACAGTCCAACAAGCAATAAAAACTCTATCACTGCTTTCAATGTAAAGCAAAAGAATCAATAATTATGTTCCAGTTCCAGTCAATATCAATTATCAGTTAATATGAGCAATAGAAAATTTAAAAATATAATATTAAAATCAATATGATCAGTGAAGTCAAAAATATATATTAAACTATAAGAAAAAATGATAAAGAGTATTATTACCCAATGAATCATCTCAGTATGCTATGTTATATTGTATCAATATTAATGTTTGTATGATTCAATTATAACATCAATCAATTCAACATATTATAATATAAATGTAATCATAAATGCAACATATTTAATTTGATATTTTTGTCCTTTCACCTCAATTATTGCCCAATTGCGTATCAATCTTAATCTAGGTCCAACTGTCAATTAATTGGTATCGATCAATCTCAATTGACGTCCAATTGGGTATTAGTTTTAATTAGGCCCAACTGTCAACTAATTGATATCAGTCTTTATCTTTCATGTTAACGAAAATCCTTCCTTCTAGTCTCTTATACATGCAAATGCTAAATTTTGTCAATGCTATGTATGAAATATAGTAATTTATAAATTGTAGAAAAAACTATCCAATTTATCAATTATGCATTTATCCAACACACACACATCTCCAAAAAATTTACTTGATTAACATGAATCTCGATAGAATATTCAAATAAAATATTTTTATAATTAAAAGTAAGATCTCCCAAACTCTAATTTTAACAAACTTATAGTAGAATTGAATGTCTCGATGAGACAAACACTCAACATTGCAAATGGTCTGACCCGACTCTAAATGAGATTAAATCAAGCATTGAAATATAATTGAAAATTAGCTTAATTGAAGGACTACTAAACAATCTTCAAATACTAATATGTTTATAGTTAAATTGAGCGACTCAATAAGAAAAATCTAATGATCCCAAAATCATTTGATTCTAAATATTATGACACTTAAATTATGGATAAACGATTAATGATCAAATGAATCAATATAGAGAACTTAATGGATCATTTTAAAATTTTGGCCTAATATACTAAAATACCATTATAAAAGGGTATAAATAGGGCTCCATTTTCTATATGAAGGAGTTTTGAGACTTTGATATTTTGTTGTGTATATTCAACTTTTGTAATCACAATAAAGAGAATTAGATAATTATTCTCAATTATGCAATCCTAAATTTTTCAATTGTGAAGATGAGTGAATTTTGTTCATATAATTATACTGTGAATTTTTTCTAGTTTTTCAAAATTAAAAAAAAAAAAAAAATCTTGTACATAACAATCGTAGCATATATGTACATGCTAAATTTTTGCACAAAGTTAAGATATTAAGCACGTGCTCTACTGCCACAAATTTTTTAACACACAATTATTTAGTTCCATTTATGGAAAACATTCTTAACATATATTTAAATATTTGTACAATCACTAATAATCAATTCCTCAATTAAAAAAAAAATGCAATCTACATTGTAGCTTTATCAAGTTTACTTAGACACTATAA